AAATTTTGTAAAAATTGAACCAGCTTTTACTCTTCTAATCTCTTTATTTCATCACCTGTAGAATAACAATGAGAAGATTGAACTCAATCTATTTCTGTGAACTTGGTTTGGTCAAGACTGATTATTTCGAGTATGACACTAGTCCAGCTACATGACCCCCTATCAAGCTGTACATTCAGGCTTGATGCGTATTGGAAGTGAATTGTGATCTATAATGTAAGCAGGAGTTAAAAATCAGCCTGTTGAGCTTGTTCACATTGCATAAGTAAGGTTTTTCACGTTTACCTCTCAAAGTGGGAGGATTTTATGTGTGCATTGTGCGAAGCTCATTGTAGCATGAAGATAATAAGTTAATGATTTCATGTGCATGGCATCAAGGACAAGTTGATATATACCAAGTATCATTCGAAGAAGATACACATGCATGTTCCCAACTTTTAACACAAAATGGAATATTAGCTGTTGTTCCTTGTTTCAGGTAATTCGAAGAGAAGCAAGATTTAGCTGAACTTATTGCTAGTAACTTGTGAGTAATCCCGCGGTAGCAGCAGCATAAGTCAAATTAGTTCACTTCGCTGAACAGCACCAGCTATCAACATGACTTCACTAGTAAAAAATCGTTTATCCTAGACGGAATATTCTAGACGGAAAATTTTCCGTCTAGTTTGCATTAAACTAGACGGAAAATTTCCGTCTAGAATATTCCGTCTAGGATAAAACATCCTAGACGGAAATTTCCGTCTAGGATAGTATCCTAGACGGTTTTTTTATTTTTAATTTTTTTTTTAAGATGACCAAATATCCTAGACGGAAATTTCCGTCTAGAATACATTCTAGACGGAAATTTCCGTCTAGAATATTTTGGCTCGTATAAAAAAATAAACACCAAATTTTCCCCCCTAAATTTTCCGCCCAAAATCGTAATAAGAAAACCCCCCTAAAATTCTCTTCCTCCCCCCAAAATTTCCCTTCCTCCCCCCAAATTTTCCCTTCCTCCCCACAACGAGATCGTGTCCACCGCCGACAGGAACCTCATCGCCCACCTCGTCTCCGCCATGCGCTCCGTCAAGTCCGCCCTCTGACAGGAACCTCATCGCCCACCTCGTCTCCGCCATGCGCTCCGTCAAGTCCGCCCTCTCCTCCGCTGGCTACCTCCAGATCCGCGTCTGCACCACCCTCCTCCGGCCGCTTCCGCCACGGCTACGACAAGGCGATCTTCGCCCCGATGCTCAGATCCCACCAGCGATATTCAGAGGCTTCTAGCAATCGAGTTCGGATTCGACGAGGAGTTCGCGAATCAATGCTTAGATCGCCTTGTCGATCTCTATGGTAATGAGCTCAATCGAAACCCTAATATTCCTCAATCCCAACCCCTTTCAACTTTGAAGTTTCGAATTTCCTTTAGTTTTGAGATTGATTATGTAAATGGACACTGAAAATGTACTAGGTTCTAATTAGAAGCATACCAGGGCCTAAAGATACGATCTTGATGTTCGATTGGGATGAATTTGATGTTGAAATGGTTGCAGTTAATGGTTTATTTAGTTTGGTATTCTGGACGCTCATTTAGCAAAATGGTTAAATGAGCGGTAAGATCCACATGATCGCTAGTATACGGCTCGCTGTTAGGCCGTTAGCTCATGCCCGGTATTTTATGGGAATTTGCGTGAGCTCATCCTCATTCAGTTCCGCACTAGAATTTTGATTGATAGAGTCAACTGTCGTGGAAAAAGAAAAGAATTGAGTTGCTAAAGTCGCTACTAAATGAGTGAGTGTCTGTTTTCTGTTGTTGACTTTCCATACCGGTCAATGCTCCTGCTCCGACTAAGAAACATGGAACTAGGTAGTTGATTTTAGAAGGATACCACAACTAGACAACAATTTCAATATGATTAGTAATTATGCACCTGCAAATTTCATCATCACTGTGGCATATGCTTAAATAGGTAGTTGATTTTAGAAGGATACCACAACTAGACAACAATTTCAATATGATTAGTAATTACGTATGAGAAACAATTGATACATCGAGCTTCAGTCTAAAACAATACTAATCAGTAGTAGCAGAGTGATTAATTTATAGCCATGGCCCATGACTATTATTTTATTGCCGCTTGGAAGTTATACAGGCTATCCTGGTAGTGCCAGTATTTCTGCAAACAAGTGAACCATTGTAAAGTTTTAGCTGTCTGAAGCTTCAGTGAATGTCAATGAAGGGTTGTACATCTTATTTATAACACTTATACCCCGGGTAGAGGAGATACTTAGGATCGTATCTTTGTGTGAAAATACTCAAAGACTGTTTAAGGGAATGCCACAATCTTCAACGTCATCTATCTATTTTAAGGTCCAATAGAATGTCTGTTTTCTGTTGTTGACTTTCCATACCGGTCAATGCTCCTGCTCCGACTCCTGCTCCTACTCCGATTCCGGCCCCACCCAGAAGGTACTCTTTTCGGACTTGGGCTGCAGCTATTGCTCCGGGCTCTAGAGACGGGCTTGGACTCCTGATGTGCTCTTTCATCTATATGAATTCTTTCTTTATTGTCACGGTCACGATCATAGCTGAAACCATATGATATACATAGCACCTTTAGCGAGGGTAACCATATGATATAACATAGAAATTTTAGCGAGGGTAAATCACAAATTAGGAATACATGACCAATTTTGCTAAAGCAATGGATATGGTTTGTAAATGTACAAAAAATTTGCATCAAAGATTGAATTTAACTTTTTTATTATGTGTGATTTTTCCCCAAATATTTATATCCAAAATTTATATCAAAGGCTGCAAGTTTTGAGTATTCTAAGGTAAGATGGATAACTTGCTTTTCATGATTCTTACCTGACCTCTCAATTGGAAACATTTAACGTGGTTAATTTTTGTGATGAAGAATAACCAATTCGCCCAATTTATTGAAGAAGATAGCTAGGCTAGTTATTAATACCTTGATCCGAAAGAAAGATTTAAACTTGGGAGTTGTGATGATTTCTTTCTTTATAATGTGAAACAAGGCTCAGAAGGAAATGGCGTCTATTAGTTCATGGGGAGAACTCAAAGCATGCATCTATAGAAGCTGAGGTGAAAAAGTATGAGGTGAGAAACTTGTTCAACTCATTATGAACCATGCAATTGATATTTCACATTTGATCTTAATACTTACCATGCTTGTCCCTGGAGCTAAAATTATTCCTGCATACACACATTTTGAGATTAAGTACCTCATCGCACGCTCTTTGAATATTAATTGTTTTGGGTACAGGAACTCTTCATTTTACTATCCTTAGTGGAACACTATTCCTCAAATTGTTTCCTGCTGGATTCATCTACTAATTGATTTAGATAATAGCTTGTACTAAGAAATATGATACTCTACTTCGATAACTCCTTGCCTTATGCATAACCGTTCTTCATTTTGCAGCATTCCTGGCTATTATGCATAACCGTTCTTCATTTTGCAGCATTCCTGGCTATTATGAGGGGCATTCTGCGAAGGAGTTGGATGGTTGTCAAGGCAAATCTGGAAGAAACAGAAAGGAACTCAAAAGATTATTAATCATGTATCGATGAATTACATTCTTTCCTAGAAGTGTCATAGCCATTGTAAAATAATTTATGTAAACATTTGTAAATAAATTTATGTATCCTCTCTACTATTTTGGTGAATGTATTATTTGAAATATATTGGATTTGATATTGGAATTAATTAGATTGTGTTGGATATGAATATATTTTTATTGTTCAATATTGTGTACATACACTCAAAGCTAGATTCTGGCAAAAAAAAAAAAAAAAAAAAAAAAAAAAAAAAAAAAAATACTGTAGCACAGTATCCTAGACGGAAATTCCGTCTAGGATGTTTAATTCCGTCTAGAATACTTTTTTAAAAATTAAAAAAATAAAAAAATTTAAAAAATCAAATTCCGTCCAGAATAAGTATTCTAGACGGAAATTTCCGTCTAGAATACTTATTCTAGACGGAATGTTTTTCCGTCTAGAATAAATTATTCTAGACGGAAATTCCGTCTAGAATAATCCGTCTAGGATGTATTCTAGACGGTTTTTAATTCCGTCTAGAATATTCCGTCTAGGATGTATTCTAGACGGAATTTCCGTCTAGAATACTACATACTAGACGGAAATAAACTAGACGCGTATTCTAGACGGAATTCCGTCTAGAATACGCATCCTAGACGGAATTTTGGGTATCCTAGACGGAATTTTCCGTCTAGGATGCCTCAAATTTTAGCAGTGCTTGCTGTCTTTCATGGTTCTGTGTTAATTCTGATTCATGGTTTGACGACTTTTCTGTTTTTCTTAAACAAAATATCTTGGTTAATTTGCTTCATTTCCTTTTGTAATGATTGATATTTCCTTTTCCGGGATAACTTGGTACTGTGAGATGTAAAGACTTGATGCTGTGTTTACATATCAAAATTCCTCGAATGAAATTCAGTGAATATTACAAGTCAAGTTACAAGAGTTCTTTTATTCCTCTTGAAAGCGTGTACCTTTTTTTTCCCCTTTCTAATTTGTTGGTGCGGGTCAAGGACGCTTGATGAATGGTTCAAGGAATGCGAGGAGTGGAATTTTAGTGAGTGGATGGTAATCTGACTCAGGTATCTCAAAAGCACAGCGGATGGGGAACTTGCACAACTTAGCTCTAGTTATCGAGAAAAATGAGATTGATCTTTTCGGGTGGGAAGTAATCGAAATGTCTCGTTAGCTTACGCTTTCAGTTTTGAATTACTTTCCTCTGAAGGGTTGAGGACAATCCATTTGTTAATCCACATATAACTGTAGGGTCGAAGAATTTAAGGATTGATTGATTCTCTTGTTTTAAGAAATGGGTTCGATCACTTGGTATGAAACCCTTACAATCACTCATTCTCTTTCTCAATTACAGAGGAAGAGAAGATTAATTCAGCTTCTCTTTTGTTTAAGGTGGGTTCTTAGTGGCGAAAGGATGTTTCTCCTGATGCTTGAGTCGAGCTTGCCTCCTGTTGACGATCAGAACAAGATCACAAGAGCTTCTGACCTTCGTTAACCGGATGGAATCGAGGTTCGTACTTTGAATCGGCGTGCAGAAACTCTGATCTCTGATGCTTTGTGAAGTCCAAGCTTGAAAATCTCCAATTAATTAACGATCAACTCTGATCTCTGATGCTTTGTGAAGTCCAAGCTTGAAAATCTCCAATTAATTAACGATCAACCAACCACTTTTTCTGTAGCCATCGATGGTGAAGTCCAAGCTTGAAAATCTCCAATTAATTAACGATCAACCAACCACTTTTTCTGTAGCCATCGATGACTATTTATAGGGTTTTAAGCACGTAACCGACGTGCTATAATCACGGGTAGAGGGGCGTAATTGTCTCCCCCAAATCAGCGCATGCCGTAACGTGCTCCTGAATATTAGCCCACGTGGCTGACTAAGTCTTCGGAGCCGTTACAGGTAAATTCCACATGGATGACGAACCTCGACCTCAATTGAAACGGAGTTCGTCAAGTAAAACGAGCCTCGAGGTTCCTCTTACCAAGCAAACCTTGCAATAGACCAGTTTCTCCTGACAAATTTTGTCTTCACTGACTTCGTCTGACGAACCTCGCTTTCACTAATGAACTTCATCTTCGACAGCTGAGTCCAATTACGTAGTAAGTCTTGTAAGTTCCCTTTTAACGAGCCTCATCTTCACTAATGAGCTTTACGTCTAGTAATGGGCTTCGAACCTCGTGTCCAATGACGAGCTTCAAACCCCGTATCCACTAGTGAACCTCGAACCTTGTATCCAATGACGAGCTCCAAACCCCGTATCCACTAATGAACCTCGAACCTCGTATCCAATGATGAGCTCTGAATCCCGTGGATCAGTTTCATGAACTTTGTCTTTTGATGTTAAGCTCTGCTGCGTGGCGACTCTCGTTCTCAAGGTTGATCTTTTCTAAACAACGAACCTCATTTCTGATTGAGAAGGGGTTCGTTTTCCTAACCCTCATTTTCACATTTCGAGTTTTGGCATTTTTGAATGCCTACAAAACCCCCCTTCAAAGTTTTCAGACTTGAATCGGGTTGTATGTAGTCTGAAACACTTTGAATAGGCATTTCGAACTTGAGGAGTTTATCTCACGAACCTGGTTTTATCATGAACTTCATGTTTGCTACGAAAATGAGCATTACCTCGCGGCTCGTTCTAGAGTTCGTCCCTTTATACGAGACTTGTCAGAATAATGGGCATCTAACAAACGACACCTTGCGGCTTCGTCAGCGGTACTGCTATGCGCCTTTCCCAGACCTAGTGAATGGTTTTCAGCTGGTGATTGGAGATCTTCGTGAATCCCGTCCGCAGATCTTGTTGGGGAGAGATCTCATCAAACGACCTTAACTGAAGATCGTGACCCTTGATTCGACCCTTTTCCCGCCCCTATAAATAGGGCATCATCATATGAGAAGTCCTTTCTTCTCTCTTCATCGTTTGGGTTATCTGAACTCCTCCTCTTCTCAAAATTCCGATCTTTCTTTCTTAGCAAACCCTTCAAGCGAAATCAATGGCCCCTAAGACCGCTGTAGATCGAAGCAAGAGCAAGGGCAAGAAGGTTGTTGGCTCTTCGCACGAACCTGACGTTCTATCCACCTTTTTAGGTAATAGATCTTAAACGCATGATTTGCGTTCTGAGGGATGTCAACCCTGTCTATTTTAGACTTGGGTTTTTTGAGGAAGATGAACAGTTTCTTCCAGACTCATCATAAAGATGGCGTCTTTTTGGCTGGATGAGGCTCGTCATCGATGATTCTCGTCTCTATGACTTGTTTCGTCTTTCGATGAGCCTTATCCGCAAGTTGAACTTCACATGTCCAACATCGTTGGCTATCCTGACGAGGGTCATCCTCTAGAATTGTTAAACGAAATTCGTTTATATGATGAGCTTCATCTTTTCATCGACTACGTTCGTTGGATTGGCGAACTTTGTCTTCAGATGATAAACTTCGTGTTCTCCAACGAACCTCGCTGAACTGATGAACCTCGTTATCCCTGTCGAGGTTGAATGAGCTGTGTTCTCCAACGAACCTCGCTGAACTGATGAACCTCGTTATCCCTGTCGAGGTTGAATGAGCTTGCTCAGCCAACGAAGTTTAACATTTTGTTGTAACACGAGGTTCATCGTTCGAACGAATTTCGACGTTCGTTGCCAGAATGACCTCCGTGTTATTTGGTCGTGACTGCTGCTCGAGACCAATCTTGTTTGTCTTTTATATGCAGTCGTATATCCTTCTACTCCACTTCCCCAATGTGGTGATCTCGAAGCGGATGATACTCAGACGACTACAATTCATCCTCATTACTCTGCCCTCGAGAGTATTCCTTTGTTCGGAGAACGGGGGCCAGAAGAAGTTGATCTCCTCTCTGAACCTTCAGTTTCCATGTTTAGGCGTATGATCACTGATGCTCCGTTGGAGTCTATTAATCGTGAACCCATTGTGAAACCTGTTCTCTTGTTTGGAGACTCTTCAGAAGATCCTGAATTATTAGAGATCGAGACTTATGAATGGTTGAGAACTGTAAACGGGCAAAACTTGTTTTTGCCTCGGATGGAGCGTGACATCTCTCTTACTGCTTTGAAGATTGTCTAGGCTCCCAGAAGAATAGACTGGGATTTAACCCCAGTACAAGATGGGGTCATATGTGGTCACTTTTCTCGGAGCGGCACAAAGATAGATAGTGATGGACGTTACATCACCGGATTACACCCTGAGCTTTTTTAAAAAGAACTCCTCATTGGTGAGACTGCTGAGGAGGCTAACACTTTTGGTCGTGCATTCTTTAGGAAGAAAGGTCAATTCCCCGCTAAGGATTTTAGAACTCTAGGCTGGTCTTATTAGAGTCCTACACAATGGTGGCCTCGTATCACCGAATACATTTTGCGGGAGAACCAAGAAGACCTGCAAAAGTTTTGTCTTTATGCACCCATCAGGGCGACACAATTCGGGTTGATCAATAATTCCCACCAGTTCTTTGGTATTTTGGAGTTGTATAACTCTACAACCCGTACTTTCTTTACTCCTGATGAAGAGATAGGGATTACTCTTCACGAGATGGAAGAAGTCTCCGGGCTGCCGAACGGGAATTATCCGTATGAGGAGTATATCCCAGGTCAACGGGAATTAGTTGCTCTATAGAAGGAACAATCCCAAGTGGTAGAGACCTTTTAGGAAGTAATGTGTTATTACCACATTTGTATAAATGTGGAAGGACGGCTCAATAAGAGGGGTGAGAAACTCCTCAGCCATAACATCTGGTCCCGATATCTCTTCAAGAAATTGGAGCATAGAAATGATCCCGTGGTGTCCTTGTGTCCTTGCGACGCGAGTGAATTGTCGCGATGGGTACTCACTTATCCGCCCATGCATCAGGTATCAGAATCAGATGAACAAGGTTACCCTGTTGGTACCACCTTTGAGAGTTATTTTTTTCAAGGTGGAGAGCCTATCTCTTCTAAGGCGTTGCTTGCAGGATATCTCATGTTGTGGCTTCATCAAGTCGTTGTTATTTTGGGAAATTTCGACTTGCTGCCCATGGAAGTGGTGTTCCCAGCCGTATGTTTAGCGCATGATCGTTCTTATGCCCTTCTTCCTGCTATGATTGCTCGCATCCACTATGGATTACGTAGTTTATGTTACCAATTCTGTCGTGGTAACGAGAATATAAAGGTTGGCTTGCCATACACTTATTTCATGGCATGAGTTGTTCTGCACTGTCCAACCCTTATGGGCACGCCTTCCGCTCATACAGAAGGTGAAATCATTCTCTTCATTCAAAGGTTGGAGAATTTAGACTGGGAGCACCATTACTTGGCCTTGGTAAGGCACATTCTCCGCGACCACAAAAGATGGGAATTTAATCGATGTTTTCCTCATTTCCCCGGAACCAACTATGGACAGACCATCGTGGATGCATCAAATGGTCGGGGTTATTCTTCTCCGTCACTTGGCTTCTTCATGTGGCTTATGACCATTCGCCCCGGGTATCATATTTATCATTTCGGCCCAGTGTGTATGTTGGAGCCTTACTTGCCTTGTCGCTTTGCTCGCCAATTCGGCTACACTCAGTTGTACATTGGTAATCCCAATACTCAACTGATATCTGAGGGTTGTAGCTTGATTATTGGGGCCAGAGCTTGGTATTGGACTATTGCCGGCGGCACAGGTGCTCGTTTCTTGCTTCCACCACAAAATCTGTAGCTTCGGACCACACTTGCTTATTGCAAGTTTCACTGTATGGCAAACACAGTGATCCCTAACTTCAATGTGAATTCTTAGGGGCTGCGTTATATCCGGCGTCGACACAGATCTAGAAATGCTTCTAGACGAAGCCGTATACCAGGACTCAAGGAGTTCTTATACGCTGAAGAGATGTCGGGGTAGAGGAAACTAGTCCTCCTATCCCTCATGAAACTCAGGAGGAGATAGACGCGGC